GCCGACCGCCAAAAGTGGAGGCAGGAGGCGGCGCTGCATCAGTTGGGCTGGCAGTTGCGGGGTCTTTTCGCGCCGCTGCAGTGGCCGATCTCGCGGGGGTTCCCAGGCGCCTCGGCGTCGGCGGTTGCGCGCCAGGGTCGGCTCGCCGCGTCGGCGGCGCGCGTGGCGGAGGGGGTGTATTACGCGCCGCGGTTCTACGAACAGAGCTCGATCGTCGGTGTCTAGATGCGAGAGGGCGGCGAGGGTCTCGCAGCGACGGGTCGAGCCGTAAAGGGCGCGCCATCCTGGCGTGCTGCGAGAGGGCGCTGAGGTCGGACATTTCCGTGTTCGCGGCAACCGGCTGGAAGTATTTCGAGCTGCCGCAGATCGCGAAGTCCTCGCTACTTGTGGAATCTCAGGCGGCGCTTGCTGGCAAGGGGGCGCCAGGGCCAGTCGAGCGATTCTGGGCAGCCGTGGTCTGCGCCCGCATCGGTGTCACCAAGGGCGAGAGCGCGCGCTGCGCCAGGGGGTCAGCGCTGGCGATCTACGCGGAGGCACCCAACGACGCGGCCAAAACGGGGCCCGCACGAGCTGCTTCCAGGTCGCGAGGAGCGGCATCGAGGAGCTAACCCCGCGCGAGACGATGGATACCACGAGTGCGGCATGCGGATGGGTATCATTGGAGGGGCAGTTTGCAAATGTGTTCGCTCAGATAACAGCGCGACGTATTTTCGCCAATCGATTGCGGCGTGGGCGTCCGATGTCGACGAGCGGCCCGACTAATGCGGCAGCGAAGGCGATTGCCGTGGAGGGGCGACTGGAAAGCGTCGACCAGACGCGAGCGGCGACGCTGGGAGCTGCGATGTTTGCAATGTCGCCGCTGACGCAGCTGGCAGAAGTCGCGACGTTTTACTGCTGGGCCGCAGCCGAAAACGGCCTCGGGTTCAAGGGCGGACTTTTCCACCATGGTTTGCGGTCATATTCCTACTGGTCGGAGTGGGTGCGGCGTTGCTAGTTGACGGCCAATTCAACAAGTCAAAGTGCGACATGACGTGGGCGAATATGAAGTTGCGACATTATGGCAATGGCAAGCAGGAGCGAGAACGGTCAGAAACCAGACTACGACGAGCGATTGGCGCTCAGAGCATGTGCGCCTAGAAGTTCGCAGGCGATGGGCAGCGATTCGTGCGTGCCGCGCGGGATTTTGCCAGGGCGGGCGAAACGACTGCGGAGAAGCTGCGCGCTATTGCTTCACAGTGTATTATCGTTACATGTGTTGCAGCGTGCGTCATTGTTGCCATGCGTGACATGATGTTCGTATCGGGAAGTTAGTTGTACTTCTGTCATTCCCCTCTTGCGGGGGTGAATTGCATGATGCGCAGTGGGGGAAACACGACCCAGGGAAACGGGCTAAAGCCAGCACGCGGGAACACGAAACTGGGGATGTGAAAACACGACTCACGGAAACCAGGGGCGCACGAGCCCAAGAACACGGGCGCGCGCGAGGTCTGGAATTTGCGGAGAGCATTCCGTAGGATTTCGAAAGATTCCGCAAAACACCCCAGTATGTTCCAATACCCCCAGGATTCGACAGGCGTGTCAAGACGCCTCGGCTTCAGTCGGCCTCGTCCTCCTCCGCATCTCCCTGGCCTGGTGGTGTCCTGGCTCCGTGTCTTGGGGTGCTTTGGGGGGTGTCCGGATGCGGTGTCCCCAGCTCCGGGCCGCTGCTTTGGGAGTCTCATTCTCTGCTGCCGCGGGGCGGGGGGCACTCCAAAGTGCCCGGAACGGTCCGGGGGGGTGGCCTTCGGGGAGGTCCGACGCCGCCGCCCTCCGGCCAAATCTCAAGATGCCGAGAGTTTCCGGCGCGCCTAGGAGGCTTGCGGCCCTGGGGCGGGGGGGCATTCCAGAGGGCGCGGAGGTGGCCCGCGGGCGGTTGGCCGGGGGGGGGCCTCCCGGGGAGGCCCGAGGCAGCAAACCTCCTGCAACATGTGAAGGGATCCTGGAGGGATTCCGCTGGTCCCGGAGCCAGCCCAGGGGGGTTACGTGGCGGTTGTCCGGGGGGTGTTCGGTGAGGGGTGTTTTGGCAGGTGTCTTGGGGAGGCGTCTTGGGGGCAGGTCCCGGGATGGTGTTCTGGGGGAGTGTCCCCGGAGGGGTTGGTTTGGGGAGGGCGGGGGCCCGTGTCGTGAAGGGGATGTTCCGGGGTGGCGTCGGAGGGGGTGGCGGCCCGGGAGGGGAGGGAAGGTGAAGGGGAAGGGGAAGTGAGGGGAACGGGAAGGAGGAACAGAGGGGGAACGAGAGGGAAACAGGGAAGAGGAAGGGGGAGGAGGGGGGAAGGGGGAGACGGGGCTGCAGACGCTCCTCGAGGACTCGCGACCTGGCAGGCGCAACGAATCGTGGCGCCAGCGAGTGCGCGGCCTCCACCTCGGGGCTCCTCGTGGCAGCCGAGGGGCCTCGTCGGGGGTCTCCGTCGGCGCCGCCGGGTTGTGCGGACCCCCCGCGAGGTGCAGCGATCCCTGGGCCCTCGGCGCGTCAAAGGAGAGGCTTCTGCCGCTTGGCCGGGGGAGGAGGAGGAGGCGGAGGAGGAGGAGGAGGAGGAGGGAGGAGGAGGAGGAGGAGGAGGAGGAGGGAGGAGGAGGAGGAGGAGGAGGAGGAGGAGGAGAGGAAGGAGAGGAGGAGGAGGAGGAGGAGGAGGAGGAGGAGAGGGAGGAGGAGGGAGGAGGAGGAGGAGGAGGAGGAGGAGGAGGAAGGAGGAGGAGGAGAGAGGAGGAGGAGGAGGAGGAGGAGGAGGAGGAGGAGGAGGAGAGGAGGAGAGGAGGAGGAGGAGGGAGGAGGAGGAGGAGGAGGAGGAGGAGGAGGAGGAGGAGGAGGAGGAGGAGGAGGAGGAGGAGGGCGGAGGAGGAGGAGGAGGAGGAGGAGGAGGAGGAGGAGGAGGAGGAGGAGGAGGAGAGGAGGAGGAGTGGAGGAGGAGGAGGAGGAGGAGGAGGAGGAGGAGTTCCCTGGGGGGGGGGGGGAAGGGGGGGCGGGAGGTTGACCTCCGATGAGGCAGACCTCCCGCAAAGTAACTCAGACATCCAAGGTTTCCGCGCGTTTAGGGGAAGGTCTGCGGCTTCGGGGCCGTGGGCGTTCAAGAGCCGGCTCGAGGGGGGGGGGGCGGCAGGGGGACCTCCGGGGATGGTCCGGGGGAGGCCCTGGTTGGCGTTCTTCAGGCGATCGCAGACACGGATCAAGGTGGCGTGGATTAGCGACGGGTCCCGTTTCCCTGGGAAATCGCGGAATTCCGCCGCCGAGCGAGGCGGCACCTGCCGCTTTCTGGGGAGGTGCTGGCACTCCCCTCTTCTTATTTCAATGCGTCCGCGGCCGCCCCCTGGGCCGCGCACGTGCCTCGGTCCATGATTTGCGCCCCCCTCCCCCTTGGACGCTCCCCTCTTGGCCGCCTCCGACTTCCGGCGATCTATAGATCAAGGGGGGGTGGATAAGCGACGGGTCCCGTTCTCATGGGAAATCGCGGATGTCCGCCGCCGAACGAGGCGACACTGGCCGCATTATGGGGTGGGCACCTCCCCCGATCCATGGATTTGGCCACCGCGCGCCAAATCCATGGATCGCTAATCTCTGCTTGCGCGCCCCCGAGTTCTGGAGCTTTGTGTCGAAATTGGGAGATGTCCAAGGGCTGTCGGCGAGTTTCTGGGTGGTGGTGGTGACCTTTCGTTCGTTTTCGTGGGTATACAGTTGAGATCCATGCCAAGAGACACCCTGTTTGCCTCCAGGGTGCCCTGGGTTTCTTGGGTTTCGATGGTCTTGCGATGGAAAGCGTGACGCTCCCACGCCAAAAACCAGTGGATCTCCTGGGGTCTCAGGGTTGGGTTTCTTGCGGAAGGTTTCCTGTGGGCTAGCCTCCACCGCATAGCGTTCTCGGCGTCCTGGCTGGGTCCGTCTGTTCGGGTTTCCGCGGGGGGGGTCGCGGGGTCGCGCTCTGGGGGTCACGCCCAGCGTCTCCGGGGGTCGTACGGTCGGGGCCCTGAAGAAGGAACCCTTGTCGTTGGGCAGGGGCTCCGCGTTCCTTTAGTGTTTCACAGCTTGCCTCAGGTTGTCCTTATGTTTTTCGACAGGAACTCGAAGGTTAACTGATGGAAAAAAGGGGCCTCGTTCCTTCTTTAGGGTTCCTTAGGTCAACGCCCCGACTGTAGTGTAAGCGTGTGGTTTTGGTGTGCGTGAAGAGGCGGCAGGGAGCACAGTCTCCATGGCCTTTTGGAATCAAGCCCTCTTGTGGGCCCTGGAGCCCTGCGCGACTGGTGGGGGAAAATTTCATGGTCGGCCTCTTGCGCTTCAATGTCGATTTCCTGGTCTTTCGGAGGGCGCAGGAGTTTCGACAAGACCATATCTCCCTGCCCATTCATCCTAAAACTGTCGAGACCACCGTGGGCGGCACAGCTGAGCCACATGGAGACAATAACCCTGTAGTGCTCTCGAGCCCCCTCCGTGAAACTCCCCCATCTCACCCTCCAGATCTTTTCTGGTTCTTGTGGGACCATGCGCCCTTGTAGGCGTACCCCCCCCCCACCTGCCCCCTCCCCTCCTCCCCTCCCTCTCCTCCCCTGGAAGCCTTCGACATGTTTGGAGCATCGAGAGGCACGGGAAGCAACCCCAAACCAAAGAAGCTTTTCTCCTTCCCCTCCCCGTGCCCCCTGGCCCGTCCCCCTTTTCCTTTTCTCCTTCCCCTCCCCGTGCCCCCTGGCCCGTCCCCCTTTTCCTTCCCTTCTCGCCCCCCCCCCCCCCCTCGTTCCCGAGCGCCCCTCGAACCGCAGCTCCCCCCGGGCGCCACCCCTCCCTCTCCCTCTCCCTCTTCCCCCCCCTCCCCTCCCTTGCCCTCGCCCCCGCCCTCCCCTCCCTCGCCCTCGCCCCCCCACCGCCCTCCCGCGCCCCCCGCCCCCGCGCCCCTCCTCGCCCCCCCGCCGCCCCCCCCCCTCCAGCCGCCCCGCGCCCCCCTCCGCGCCCCGCCTCCCCCCGCCCGGCGCCCCAGGCGAAGGACATCCTCGCTGCCTGGAAGGCGCCCGCGCCGGCGCCCGCTCCGGCGGCCGCGCTCCTGCAGCAGAGGCGCCGCCGCGGCGCGCGCGCCCTCCGAGCGGAGCGGCGGGGCGGTCGCCGACGACGGCGACGGCGGCGGCGACCGCGCGAGCGGCGGCGGCGCCGACGACGACGGCGCCGGCGGCGGCCACGACCACGAAGGACAAGCACGACCACGACGACGACGACCGCGGCGGGGCGCCGGCTTCGCGCCCCTTGGGCAGCCAAGGAGGGGCCTCGGAGGCGACGGCGGGGTGTCGAGCAGCCTGGGGGCGGGCACTATACACGGATTCGTCCGGCAGCCGCGCCCGAGGCACGGACCATCGGCGCCGCTGGATTCGTGTATTGCTCCCCCCCTTGGCTGCTCCAGATCTCGTAACACAAGGGAGGGGGTCTGGACCCTCCAAGACAAGCCATTTCGGACCTCCCCCGTGGGAGAGTCCTCCAAAGCATCGTCCCCAGACCCCCCATGGGCCCTCCAAGATAGCCTGGAAGAGACCCCCCCCCGAAATGGGACCCCCCTCCCTTTATTACGATATCTGGAGTATTCTTATGTCGGGCGTGTCCCCTTACGGGGGGATTTTCGACGACAAATTTTTAAAAATACCCCAAACATGCCCCAAACTGGCCAAACAATATTCCAGAAATAGTCCCCAGACTATTTTGTGGACTATTTTTGAATTATTTTGGGGTATTTTTCATTTTTCGTCCATGAAGGGGGACAGGTCCGACTGAAGGCTATTCGCCTCCATCGTCGCCCCGGAGGGGAGGCGACGCAACAGGGACTTGGAAGGGGAGGGGGGGAGGGGGAGGGCGGGACGGGGAGCGGATCGGTGGGTGAGCGAGCGAGCGAGCGATGGGGAAAGTGAGGGGGATGCGGGTGAGGGATGGGGGGGAGGGGGGGAGGGAGGGAGGAGGGAGGGATGGAGGAGGGAGGCAGGAGTGATTGAAGTAGTGAGCGAGGGAGAAAGAAGTGAGCGAGGGAGAACCGAGTGATTGAGCCAGCGAGTGAGGCAGTATTACGGAATGGGTGAGAGGGCGGGAGGCAGTAGTACGGAATGGGTCAGAGGGGGGAGGGATGGAGAAGGGGAAGGCAGGGAGTGGGTTAGGGAGGGAGGGGGAGGAGGAGGAGGAGGAGGAGGAGGAGGAGGGAGAGGAGGAGGAGGAGGAGGAGGAGGAGGAGGAGGAGGAGGAGGAGGGAGGAGGAGGCGGAGGTGAGGAGGAGGAAGGAGGAGAGGAGGAAGGACGGATGAGGCTGATGCTGCTGGCGGGACTCGTCGATGGTGGCATCCTCGGTCGAGCACGGCACTAGAGTCGTACTAGTACGCCTTTGCAACGTCAGCAGCCGTGTTGCCCCAGATGAGGAGCCCCCTGTGACTTCGCGGAAGGCTTCGAGGGCTGCTGAGAAGGCTGGAGGCCTTCTGAGCCTTCTGAGAAGGCCCGCTTCCTCTCGGGCGCCTGATGGTTCTTGGTCAAGCGAGTGCTGCTGCTGATGGTGATGACGATGGATGCTGACGATGAGGAGGAGAAGGCTGAGTGTGGAGCAAGGAGTGGGTATGATGATGCTGCTGCTGCTGCTGATGATGATGATGATGATGATGATGATGCTGATGACGATGATGATGCTGATGATGATGATGATGAGGAGGAGGAGGAGGACCAGTGTCAACTCAATCTGCATCAATGATGTTGCAATGCACCCTCGCTCTGACGTTCACTTCGCATAGGTCCTTACAAAAATTTCTTTTCATGGCGGGAAATGGCCCATTAGAATATAATAGCATCCTCAATCGTACGAAAGCACAAGTCCTGAGACTCCAGCGTCGCGGATCAACTTGACTGCTGCGACATGACAGTCCTAAATCGTGCCAGAACGCAATTCCTGTTTCCAACCGGGAATAAACTTGACTGTTGAACCCGGACAATCCGAAATCGCGCCAGAGCGCAATCCTTGGGACTTCAATGCACGAAAACTTGAAACAGTTGCAAACTGTTAAGACAAATGTGCGTGGCGCACAGGCGAGAGCAACATCTTGAAACCCGCGCTCAATCCGTGAAAGCAAATTTCAAGCTTCAGGATCATGAATGGTGAGTGACTGTCAGGCGAAACGCCGGGCCCGCCCTACCGACATGTCCTGGGGTGCGACAGGGAGGAGTTATTTACAAGGAAAAGTGATGGAGGAGGAGGAGGAGGAGGAGGAGGAGGGCGGGGAGTGCAGGAGCGAGGAGGAGAAAGGAGGAGGAGGAGGAGGAGGAGGAGGAAGAAGGAGGAGTGAGCAGAGGCGGAGGAGCGAGGAGGAGGAGGAGGAGGAGGAGGAGGAGGAGGAGGAGGAGGAGGATCCCCGCTTCTTGATCCTCCATCCTCCTCAGCCTCCCCCCCGATCCTCGATCCTCCTTGACCCCCGATGCTCGACCCCCCGCCTCCTCAGATCCTCGACCCTCAATCCCCCTGGCCCTGGGAGCCTTCCCCCCCCCCCCCGCGCTCCGCCGCCGCCGGCCACGAGGCAGCATCGCCGGGCGCTGCGCCGGGCGTGAGCGCGGCGGCGGGCGCGGCGGTGGGCGCGGCGCGGCGCGGCGGCGGCGCGGCGGCGGCGAGCACAACGCTCTGTGCCTTTCCCGACCTGGCCATCCCCTCTCCCCCTTCCTACGGGACAGCCCCCTTACCCTCCCCGTTCCCTGCCCCCCCCCTCTTTCCCCTGGCCCTGCGCCACCCACCCCCCCCCCGTTCCGCTCCCCCATTTGCCCCTCCCTATTCCCTCTCTCCCTCCTCCCCTTCGCCTTGCCTGCCGCTGCTGCAGGTCCTGGAAGCGCGCAGGCGCCTGCTGCACGGAAGGGGGGCCCAGCGGAGAGGTGAGGCGGGGGCGGGTCTCCTCGTCCCGGCCTCCTCCGCAGGCCGCGGCCGGCCGGACTGGCTCCTCGGCTCCCTCTTCTGTAGTAGTAGTAGTAGTAGTAGTAGTAGTAGTAGTAGTAGTAGTAGTAGTAGTAGTTGTTGTTGTTGTTGTTGTTGTTGTTGTTGTTGTTGTTGTTGTTGTTGAACATTATTTATTCTAAAGAATAATTATTGTTGGGCCCCCTGGTGCGCGCCCCCCCTGCGCCGCCTAGGCCGCAGCTACATTTTTATCATTTTCGTGAGGAAGCCTCAGAAAAGAGGGTGTGTACAGGATCCGGTTGTTTTGTTGTAATCCGCTTTCCCTTGCAAAAAACAATAGAAAATGACATTTCTTGTTCTAATATAATCAAATTTCAAGAATCCCTTGCAAAAAATAAGGTAAAGTGGACATTCGCGCGCGCAAGACGAAATCATTCCAAAACCTTAGTGTTCGCAGCGATTTTAACATAAAAACATCAAAAAACCAATGGTTTTTCAACAAAAAAATGTCAAAATCTCATCCCGCGCGCTCTTTGCGGATTCGTAGGAAACCCAACACTTTTTAAACATTTCTGTCAAACGGGCTTTTGCGAACAACTTTTTCGAACTTCTGCGACAACGGTTGCGCACCTGCCAGGGCCATCATCCCTGTCAAATAATATCATGCGGGACACATTCGTTTTTTCTTCGCGCGCGCACGCCGAAATCTACAAAAACCATTGGGTTTTTAAGAATGTTAGCACCGCGCATCATAAAATCACACGAATCGCACCGTAGCTCTCCTCTGGCTCTCTGTCTTGCTCTCTCTCTCTCTCTCTGTCTCTCTGTCTTGCTCTCTCTCTCTCTCTGTCTTGCTCTCACTATGTCATGCGCAACGAATGCACGATGCGGGGCACATGCGGGGCCCAAACAAGTGATCAACCTCTGCGGGTGTGTACTCCACGCCAGTGTAGTATCCACGATCGTCCGCGCGCCACGAAGTGAAGTGTCCTGACGTCATAGGGCGGGAAGCTGGGTGTGGGTGGTTCCCGAGAGTCGTGTGGATGTTTTGTAGAGCTTGCATTGCCCCCCCACGAAACGTGGGGGTTATTGGCTGGGTCGCATTGAAAACCCTGGCACTGGGAGAACACTTGAGCTTTCGGGTAAAAGATGTTGTTGTGTTGTTGTTGCTTGTGGTGTTGTTGTGCTGTGTTGTGTGTGTGTTGAACATTATTAATCTAAAGAATAATAGTGTGGGGACACCATGGTGCACGGCCCCCACATCCCGCCGCGCCTAGGCCAGACGCAGCTACATTTTCATCATTTCGTGAGGAAGTCTCAGGCAAAACGCTTGTGTCCGGATCCGGTTGTTTGGTTGTAATCCGTTTTCCCTTGCAAAAAACACTATAAAATGAAAATTCTTGTTCTTACTTGATCAAATTGCAAGAATCCCTTGCAAAAAATAAGGTAAAGTGGACATTCGTGCGCGCAAGACGAAATCCTTCCAAAACTCTAGGTTTCGTAGCGATTTTAACAGAAAAACATCAAAAACCCAATGGTTTTTTAAGAAAAAAATGTCAAAATGTTCTTCCGCGCGCTCTTGCGGATTCGTAGGAAAACCAACACTTTTTAAACAATTTTGTCAAACGGGCTTTTGCGAGCAACTTTTTCGAACTTCTGCGACAACGGTTGCGCACCTGCCAGGGCCATCATCCCTGTCAAATAATACCATGCGGGACACATTCGTTTTTTCTTCGCGCGCGCACGCCGAAATCTCCAAAAACCATTGGGTTTTTAAGAATGTTAGCACCGCGCATCATAAAATCACACGAATCGCACCGTAGCTCTCCTCTGGCTCTCTGTCTTGCTCTCTCTCTCTCTCTCTCTCTCTGTCTCTCTGTCTTGCTCTCTCTCTCTCTCTGTCTTGCTTTCATATCATGCGCAACAAATGCACGATGCGGGGCACATGCGGGGCCCAAACAAGTGATTACCCTCTGCGGGTGTGTACTCCACGCCAGTGTAGTATCCACGATCGTCCGCGCGCCACGAAGTGAAGTGTCCTGACGTCATAGGGCGGGAAGCTGGGTGTGGGTGGTTCCCGAGAGTCGTGTGGATGTTTGGTAGAGCTTGCATTGCCCCCCCACGAAGTGGGGGTATTGGCTGGCGTCGCATGAAAACCCTGGCACTGGGGAGAACACTGAGCGTTCGGGTAAAATGATTGTTGTTGTCGTTGTTGTTGTTGTTGTTGTTGTTGTTGTTGTTGTTGTTGTTGTTGTTGTTGAACATTATAAATTCTAAAGAATAATTATTGTTGGGGCCCCTGGTGCACGGCCCCCCCGCCGCGCCTAGGCCGCAGCTACATTTTCATCATTTTTTCGCGAAAGCTTCAGAAAAAGTGGATGGGGTCCAGATCCGGTTGTTTTGTTGTAATCCGTTTTCCCTTGCAAAAAAACATTATAAAATGACATTTCTTGTTCTAATATAATCAAATTTCAAGAATCCCTTGCAAAAAAATAAGGTAAAGTGGACATTCGCGCGCGCAAGACGAAATCCTTCCAAAACCTTAGTTTTCGTAGCGATTTTAACATAAAAACATCAAAAAACCAATGGTTTTTCAAAAAAAAATGTCAAAATTTCATCCCGCGCGCTCTTGCGGATTCGTAGGAAACCCAACACTTTCTAATCATTTCTGTCAAACGGGCTTTTGCGAGCAACTTTTTCGAACTTCTGCAACAACGGTTGCGCACCTGCCAGGGCCATCATCCCTGTCAAATAATACCATGCGGGGCACAATCGTTTTTTCTTCGCGCGCGCACGCCGTCGTCGTCGGCCGCGGGGCCCTGAATAGTAGCCACGGTCGTCCGCATGCCACGAAGTGAAGTGTCCGAACGTCATAGGGCGGGAAGCTGGGTGTGGGTGGTGGCGAAGAGTCGTTTTGAAATTTGGTAGAGCTTGAACCGGCCCCCCCACAAAGTGGGGGTATTGCCCGCCTCCTATGAAAACCCTGGCACTGGTGAGAACGGTGTGTCCCCACGTGCTAGTAATTGTTGTTGTTGTTGTTGTTGTTGTTGTTGTTGTAGTTGTTGTAGTTGTTGTTGTTGTTGTTGAATATTATTCCTTCTAAAGAATTATTATTGTTGGGACCCCTGGTGCGCGACCTCTGCGCCGCGCCTAGGCCGCAGCTACATTTTCATCATTTTTTCGCGAAAGCTTCAGAAAAGTGGATTGTTACCGGATCCGGTTTTTTGTTGTACTCCGTTTTCCCTTGCAAAAAACACTATAAAATGAAAATGCTTGTTCTTACTTGATCAATTTGCAAGAATCCCTTGCAAAAAATAAGGTAAAGTGGACATTCGTGCGCGCAAGACGAAATCCTTCCAAAACCTTAGGTTTCGTAACGATTTTAACATAAAAACATCAAAAACCCAATGGTTTTTTAAGAAACAATTGTCAAAATGTCCTTCCGCGCGCGCTGTCCGAATCCCACGAAACCAATGGTTTTTCAACATTTATGTTACATGAGCTCGCGCGAGCTACTTTTTCTTGTTCTAACATAATCAAATTGCAATAATCCCTTGCAAAAAATAAGGTAAAGTGGACATTCGCGCGCGCAAGACGAAATCCTTCCAGAACCTTAGGTTTCGTAACGATTTCAACATAAAAACATAAAAAAACCCACTGGTTTTTCAAAAAAAAATGTCCAAATTTCATTCCGCGCGCGCTGTCCGACTCTGGTTTTTCAACATTTATGTTACATGAGCTCGCGCGAGCTACTTTTTCTTGTTCTAACATAATCAAATTTCAATACTCCCTTGCAAAAAAAAAAGTAAAGTGGACATTCGCGCGCGCAAGACCAACAAAAAACACGACGATCTCAGTAACTTGCCCCAAAAATGTGACCAACTCCGCTCTCTCTGTCTCTCTCTCTGTCTGCTCTCTGTCTCTCTCTCTGTCTGTCTGTGTCATGTATTGTATGTCACAATTGCAGGATGCTGGGCACACGCGCGCCCCGAATAAGTGACCAAGTTCTGTGGGTGTGTACCCACGCCAGTGTAGTAGCCACGGTCGTCCGCACGCCACGAAGTGAAGTGTCCCAACGTCATAGGGCGGGAAGCTGGGGTTGGGTGGTCGCGAAGAGTCGTGTGGATATTTGGTAGAGCTTGAACTGCCCCCCCACGAAGTGGGGGTATTGTCTCGCGTCGCATGAAAACCCTGGCACTGGTGAGAACACTGAGCGTTCGGGTAAAATGATTGTTGTTGTTGTTGTTGTTGTTGTTGTAGTTGTTGTTGTTGAGGTCTCACTTCTGAAGAATGATTATTGTTGATCCCCCCGTCCGGTGCACATTGTTTTTTTCGGTTGAAGTGCCCTGCCCGGGGCTCGCACTCTTCTTTTATCAGGGAAAGTCTTGAGGGTCAAACTGTGTCGTTGGCCCCCAGTTTACAAGAACAGCGGCTCCCGCCTGAGACTTCCTCACATTTTAGGCAGGACCCCCGCTCCCGCCGGAGACATCCTCGCTTTTTATTCAGGAATCGCGCTCTCGCTTGGGAGTTCCTTCGAATTTATTCTCCTGGCGCTCTGGAGTCGCGCTCTCGCTGGAGACTTGCTTGTAATTTACTGAAGAATATCGCCCTTGCGTTGGAATTTCTTCTAATTTACTCAAGCGCCGCGCTCCCGACACCCTGGCACCCAGGAATCGCGCTCACGCTTAGGACCCCTCACATATTAC